TGTAAAATCTCCATTCCCACCCCACTCCAGGGGAAGGATACTGCAAAATCCCCATTTCCTCCCGATCAGCTGGGAATTGGGAGGCAGAGAATAGATGGGGACCGGCCAGTCAGAATTTTTACTACCAGTTCTCTGAACTACTCAAAATTTCCGCTACCAGTTCTCCAGGTCAGAACCTGCTGAAACCCACCTCTGACTGGCTGACCCCGCCCACCCCACCCCTCCCCTCCCAGGAGTCTCTATGCGGCCCATTTTGGATGCCAGGTAAGTGCAGGGCACGCATGGAGGCTCTGGAAGGGCGAAAAACAGGCCTACCGGAAGTCCAGAAACAGGCCTCTTTCTGGCCTCCAGAGGGCCTCTGAAGCCCAGGGAAAGCCATTTTCACCCTCTTGGAGGCTCCAGGAAAGCCTCCAGAGCCTGGGGAGGACAAAAAACGGGCCTACTGGAAGTACTGATAGTTCAGAAACTGGCCCATTTCCGGCCTCCGGAGGGCTTCCGGTGCCCGTGGGAGACCGTTTTCGCCCTCCTGGAGGCTCGAAGAAAGCCTCCGGAGACTGGGGAGGGTGAAAATGTCCCCCACTCCATGATGCAGGAGGCCAAGTAGGCCACACCCCCATGGCCACGCCCACTCAGTAACTGGGCAGCGAACCGGTTGTTGAAATTTTTCAATCCCAACCCTGATCACACTGTATGAGCATATGGGATGCTTGCCACCCTCAAATTGAGCCCCAAAATTTCTGTTGTTAAGCGAGACAGTTGCTCAGTGAGCTTTGCCCCGTTTTACGACCTGTCTTGCCTCGTTAAGTGAATCATTGCAATCGTTAAGTTAGTTCTCCAATTTCTAACAAGCGGCACATGGGTTTCTCCAGAGGGACACGAGTGCTTCAGATTGTGCATTCCTACATATCTACCTTTACAGTACAGGTTAAGTCCTCGATTTACGATCAAAAATGAGCCCAAAATTTCTGCCATTAAGCGAGACATTTATTGCGCCAGTTTTGCGACCTTCTACGACATTTCTGGCCAGCGTTGTTAAGTGAGTCACCGCAGTTGTTAAAGCAACATGGTTGTTAAGTGAATTTGCCTTCCTCCTTGACTTTGCTTATCAGAAGGTCACAAAAAGGGGATTTATTTTAATTTAATTTAATCAATTAAATTTATATGCCGCCCCTCTCCGAAGACTCAGGGCGGCTCACAATATATTTTTAAAAATCATTATAAAAAAACATTGGATCACGTGACACTGCAACCGTCATAAGTATGAGTCGGTTGCCCAGCGTCTGAATTTTTGATCATGCGACTAAGGAGATGCTGCGACGGTCGTAAGTGTGAAAAACGGTCCTAACTCATTTTTTTTTCAGGGTCGTCGTTACTTCAAACGGCCCTTAAATGAATAGTTGTAAGTAGTCAAGGACTACATGTCCTAGCCATGAATTTAAAGGGACACTTTCCCCCCCACAATCCGCTCGTCATTCAGACTTCTAAACAGGTTCCCGCGCTCCGCCACCAAAACCAATTCTGGAAAATTCCATGCTCCCAATAAACAAACTCATAACTTATGAGTTCCGATGAAGAACAACTCTGGAATTCACGCAGGGGGTGGTGAGAAGACCCCGTAATCACCTTCCATGTTTTAAAAGAACTTGTGAGATCCTTCTGATATCGGCGGGACGCGGTGACGTGTATCGCCACATCCCGTTCTCGAGGTGCAGAGGTTATCATCCATGCTCCCTTTCATTGGCTGTTGACATAATGCCCTTCTTTTGACTCATCGGGCCAAAAATGAGTGGCAGGTGATCCAGAGAGCCCTTAGCGATTCATGGTCTGTGTGACCTCATCAGCGGATTTAATGGACTGGAGCAGAATTAGCATTTTTATGTCCCTGAGGGACCCTAACTGGAGACCCAGATTGCTCTGCACCTCCCAAGGATGTTTGAGTGGGTGGCTCACCTAAGCAGACCAGGTGACTTCCTCGAAAACTACTACACCTTGAGAAGGCTCCGGGAACAGGCAGCCCTCAACTTATGATGGGGGAATCAGAATTTCCACTGCTAGAATTTCCACGTGTAGATTTTTAAACCTGAATTGTTTTTAATTAGGTATCATATCAGAAAAAATGGACCAGAAATGTATTATTTAATATTACATGTCTTAACAGCAGCAAGGATTAGAATAGAATAGAAGGGAAGGGAAGGGAAGAGGAAGAGAAGAGAAGAGAAGAGAAGAGAAGAGAAGAGAAGAGAAGAGAAGAGAAGAATAGAAGAGAAGAATAGAATAGAATAGAATAGAATAGAATAGAATAGAATAGAATAGACCGAGTTGGAAGGGACCCTGGAGGTCTTCTAGTCCAACCCCCTGCTTAGGCAGGAAACCCTACACCACTTCAGACAAATGGTTATCCAACATCTTCTTAAAAACTTCCAGTGTTGGAGCATTCACAACTTCTGGAGGCAAGTTGTTCCACAGATTAATTGTTCTAACTGTCAGTGTGGAGTGTTGGCTATTCCTGCCAGCTTGGTGTCATCTACAAATTTGATGAGTTCCCCATCTATCCCCTCATCCAAGTCATCGATGAAGACGTTGAAGAGCACTGGGCCTAAAACAGAGCCCTGGGGTTCCCCACTTCTTACTATTCATCCATGGAGATGCAGTTCCATGGAGCACTTACACGTTGAGTGCGGTTGATCAGCCAGTTACGAATCCATCTGGTGGTGATGCCGTCTAACCCACATTTTTCTATCTTATCAAGTAGTAGGCTATGGTCTACTTTGTCAAATGCCTTATTGACGTCCAAGTAAATTATATCGACAGCCTTCCTCTGGTCCACTAATTTTGTCACTTTGTCAAAGAATGCGATAAGATTAGTCTGGCATGATCAGATTTTGACAAACCCATGTTGCCTTTTGGTTATTACTTTGTTTGCTTCTAGGTGTTACCCTGTTTCCCCCAAAATAAGACATTATCCCCTGATAATAAGCCCAACTGGGCTTTAGAGCGCATGGCAATAAGGCCAAGCGCTTATTTTAGGGTTCAAAAAATATAAGAGAGGGTCTTATTTTCGGGGAAACACGGTAGCTGAGTATTTTCGCACAATACTGGAAAAATGAAGATATACCGCGAGATGAAGAGATAACTGAGAAGATACTAGATTGCGCAGAAATGGATAGATTGGCACTGAAAATTAAGCAGAAAGAGGATGTAGAATATTATTAAACATGGAATTTATTTTACCAATGGTTGGAAAAAAAGGGGTGGAAATTAAGAATGTAATCGGTATTGTTAAGCGAATTAAATACCCAGACAACACAATGTTTATAAAGCACTAAGAAATGTATTTAATAGAAAATCAATTTAAAAAAAAAAGAATTTCCACTGCTAAGCAAGATGGAGGCTAAGTGGCCGATGAGTTAGGCAAATCCTGACAGTCGTTAAGTGGATCACAAGGTTGTTAAGTGAATCCGGGTTCCCCCATTGGCATGACCAGTCAGAAGTCAGTCCAGCAGACGGCCATTGGCGATCATGTGATCTGGGATCCTGCAACCCATTGTATGCCAGTTGTGAATCTGGCTTCTCTGCTGACACTGCTGGTCAGGGGACCATGTGACCCCACTTGCAATTTCTGCTACCAGTTTGCCTGAACTGGTACGAACCGGCTGAATACCACCTCTGATCACATGACCCCGAGGACACTGCAACCAGCATAAATATGAACCAGTGGTCCAACATCCGAATGTACAGCACATGACCACGGAGATGCTGCAATGGTCATAAGCGTGAAAAATGGTCATCAGTCACTTTTTTCAGTGCCGCTGTAACTTTGAGCGGTCACTAAATGAACTTTTGTAAGCCGAGGACTACCGGTTTATAATTTTATTATAGACTGTGTAATAGTAGCGCGAGATAATCTAATACAATGGTCACCAACTGGTGGTCCACGAGAAAATTTTGGTGGTCCGCAGAAAAATCATTTGCATTTTTTTATATTGCAGTAAATCAGGGGTCCTCAAACTACGGCCCCTGGGACGGATACGTGCAATGAAGGTTTGTGTTGCTGCAGAGAGTCTCCCCCTTCGGGGTCTTTTTGCGTGGGTCGGTGGGGGACATAAACTCTGACTTGGGGTCTGTGGGGCTTTGGGCGAAGGGTAGAGGGAAGCTCCGCTGGTGGCGAAGAGCCAGAGGGCCTCTTTCCAGTGGGACTGGAAAGTCCAGGGAGGAAGCCAGGTTCACTTAACAACCGTGTCACTAACTGAACAACTGCAACGATTCGCGTTAACAACGGTGGCCAGAAAAGTCGTAACTGGGGCAAAACTCCCTTAACAAAATAAATTCTGGACTCAAGTTGTGGTTGTATATAGAATAGAATAACAGAGTTGGAAGGGACCTTGGAGGTCTTCTAGTCCAACCTCCTGCCCAGGCAGGAAACCCTACACCACTTCAGACAAAGGGTTATTCAACATCTTCTTAAAAACTTCCAGTGTTGGGGCATTCACAACTTCTGGAGGCAAGTTGTTCCATGGGTTAATCGTTCTCACTGTCAGGAAATTTCTCCTTAGTTCTAAATTGCTTTTCTCCTTGATGAGTTTCCACCCGTTGCTTCTTCTCCTACCTTCAGGTGCTTTGGAGAATAGCTTGACTCCCTCTTCTTTGGGGCAACCCCTGAGATACTGGAACACTGCTATCATGTCTCATGTTCCTGCAACCGTTCTTCGTATGTTTTAGCCTCCAGTCCCCTAATGTTGAGGACTCCCTGTATAGGATTTCCTGCTTGAGCAAAGGGTTGGATCAGAAGACCTCCAAGATCCCTTCCAACTCTTCAATTCTTCCATTATTCGGTTAGATGGAAAGCACCTTTGTTTAACCTTAGTTCTTCCCAGCCCTCCGGCTGTAACCAGAGAAGTGGAGTAAGGGGGTGGGGGGGGGGCGTGGCTACGGGCACAGCCCCCTTCCCACCTCTTATAAGGAGACACAGGACCCATAAGACATTCTACTTGGTCCTCTTGAAGGACCTCAGCCACCCTGTGGTCTTCTCCAGCAAAGTCAACCGCCTGGTCCATGGGAAGCCCGAAGGAGTTGCTGCGGGGAGCCCTGGTCGGATTCTCGGCATGGCTTCTGTGCGGTGAGTTGGCTCCTGCCAGGTGGGCATATTCAGCCCCCGGGGGGGGGTGTTTAATTAAAGATGCAATTGATGGAGAAGGAAGGGCTGGAGGACGGGCAGGAGATTAACAGTAACAGAGTTGGAAGGGACCTTCGAGGTCATCTAGTCCAATCCCCTGCTCAAGCAGGAGACCCCTGACAATTCCAGACGGATGGCTGTCCAGTCTCTTCTTAAAAACCTCCAGTGATGGATGACCCACGATTTCTGGTGGCAGGCTGTTCCACGGGTTAATTGTCGTCACTGTCAGGAAATTTCTCCTTAGTTCTAGGTTGCTTCTCTCCTTGACGAGTTTCCACCCGTTGCTTCTTCTCCTGCCTTCTGGTGCTTTGGAGAATAATTTGACCTCCCTCTTCTTTGTGGCAGCCCCTGAGATATTGAAATACTGCTATCATGTCATCCCTAATTCTTCTTTCCTGTAACTTTCTTTCCGGTAACCTTCCCCTGGAATGGGGAGGGAATGGGGATTTTGCAGTAACCTTCCCCTGGAGTGGAGAGGGAATGGAGATTTTATAGTATCCTTCCCCTGGAGTGGAGTGGGAATGGGGATTTTGCAGTATCCTTCCCCTGGAGTGGGGAGGAAATGGAGATTTTGCAATATCCTTCCCTCAGGAGTGGGGAGAGAATGGGGATTTTGCAGTATCCTTCCCCTGGAGTGGGCAGGGAATGGGGATTTTGCAATATCCTTCCCCTGGAGTGGGGAGGGAATGGAGATTTTGCAGTATCCTTCCCCTGGAGTGGGGAGGGAATGGGGATTTTGCAGTAACCTTCCCCTGGAGTGCAGTGGGAATGGAGGTTTTACAGTATCCTTCCCCGGGAGTGGAGTGGGAATGGAGGTTTTACAGTATCCTTCCCCGGGAGTGGAGTGGGAATGGGGATTTTGCAGTAACCTTCCCCTGGAGTGGAGTGGGAATGGAGATTTTATAGTATCCTTCCCCTGGAATGGGGAGGAAATGGAGATTTTGCAGTAACCTTCCCCTGGAGTGGGGAGAGGGAATGGGGATTAGCCCATTCTAATCTGACTAGCCAGATCCAATTCCGGCAACCGTTCTTCGTATGTTTTAGCCTCCAGGCCTTTAATCCTCTTAGTTGCTCTTCTCCGAACTTTTTCCAACGTCTCAGCGTCTTTTTTTTTTAATGGGGTGTCCAAAACTGGATCCAGAGTATTCCAGGAGTGGCCTTACTAAGGCTTTGTAAAGCGGTACTAATCCTTCACGTGATTTTAATTCTATGCCTCTGTTTAGGCATCCGAGGGTTGTTATTAGCTTTTTTTGGCTGCTGCCGCACACGGCTGGCTCAGGTTTAAGGGGTCGTCCACTGGGACTCCAAGGTCCCTCTCCCAGTTGTTGTTTAGGTTTTCTAGTCCGAGTCCAATGGTGGGTTTCAAAAATTTTTACTACCGGTTCTGTGGGTGTCTCTTGGTGGATGTGGCGTGGCTTGGTAGGCATGGCAGGGGAAGGATACTGTAAAATCTCCATTCCCCCCTACTCCAGGGGAAGGATACTGTAAAATCTCAATTCCCTCCCCACTCCAGGGGAAGGATACTGCAAAATCCCCATTCCCACTCCACTCCAGGGGAAGGATACTGTAAAATCTCCATTTCCTCCCCATTCCAGAGGAAGGTTACTGCAAAATCCCCATTCCCTCCCCGCTCCAGGGGAAGGATACTGCAAAATCACCATTCCCACTCCACTCCAGGGGAAGGATACTGTAAAATCTCCATTCCCACCCCACTCCAGGGGAAGGTTACTGCAAAATCCTCATTTCCTCCCAAACAGCTGGGACTCAGGAGGCAGAGAATAGATGGGGGCAGGGTCAGTCAGAATTTTTACTACCGGTTCTCCGAACTACTCAAAATTTCTGCTACCAGTTCTCGAGAACTGCTCAGAATCTGCTGAAACCCACCTCTGAGTCCGACCCCCTGATCAAGCAGGTCAAATGGTTCTCCAATCTCTTCTTGAAAATCTCCAGTGATGGAGCGCTCACAACTTCTGGTGGCAAGATGTTCCACTGATTAATTGTCCTTGCTATCAGGAAATTTCTCCAAGGTTGCTTCTAATAACCACAAAATATATTCTGGAGTGGTTACAGACAAGTTTTAACACTAGAGTAATTCATTAGGAAAACGCTGAGTTGTGTGTGTGTTGTGGTACTTGACAATTACAAACAGTTTTGGTAAAAGATGCAGAAAAAAATACATTTTCCTGCAACTGGCTTAAGAGCTCAGTTCACACAACATGATTAAAAACCAGGTTCGGTGAAAACTCAGTGGCTTTGCTTGTACTGTGTGCTAAATTTGGTTACTAGTAATCTTGGTTAATCTTGTTTGTAGTTTAAGGTGTTCTCCAAACCTTTATACACGAATGTTAGGATTAATTGTACGGCTTCTCAACTTACAACAGTTCCTTTAGCGACTGCTCGAAGTTTCAACGGGATTGAAAAAAGTGATTTATGACTGTTTTTCACACTTATGACCATTGCAGCATCCCAGTGGTCACGTGATCAAAATTCAGATGCTTGGCAACTGGCATGTACTTATGACGGTTGCAGAGTCTCGGAAGCAGGGGGTTGGACTGGATGATCTCCAAGGTCCCTTCCAACTCAGTTGTTGTTGTTGTTGTTGTTGTTGTTGTTGTTGTTGTTATTATTATTATTATTATTATTATTATTATTATTATCTTCTGAAAAGCAAAGTCAAGGAGGAAGCCAGATTCACTTAACAACCATGTTGCTTAACAACTGTGGTGACTCACTTAACAACTGTGGCCAAGAAAGTCGTAAAATGTCGCAAAATTAACACATGTCTCACTTAGCAGCAGAAATTGTGGGCTCATTTGTGGTCATAAGTTGAGGACTTATTGTAGATAAGTAGAAATGTACAATCTGAGGCCCTCATGTCCCTCTGGGAGAAACCCATGTGTCACTCGTAGAAATTGGAAAATGTTTTTATAAATAGCAGAGCATCAAAGCTGGCCTAGGCAACTAGATTGCATCACACCAGACTGGACTCCTGCAGTGTGCTTCACATGGAGCTGCCCTTGAAGACCTCTCAGAAACTGCAAGGGCAGTGCTACAAAATGCAGCACCCTGTGTATCGACAGAGCAAGTAGATGAAGGGTTCAGTTTGGTCTAGGGGTGAAGGCACCAGGAGACTGGGAGTTCTAGTCCTGCCTTAGGCATGAAAGCCATCTGGGTGACTTCGGGCCAATCACTAGGAGATGGAGAGTTCTAGTTCCGCCTTAGGCAGGAATGCTGGCTGGGTGGCTTTAGGCCAATCACCAGGAGACGGTGAGTTCTAGTCCTGCCTTAGACATGAAAGCTAACTGGGTGACTTTGGGCCAGTCACCAGGAGATGGAGAGTTCTAGTCCTGCCTTAGGGATGAAAGCTAACTGGGTGACTTTGGGCCAATCACTAGGAGATGGAGAGTTCTAGTTCTGCCTTAGGCAGGAATGCTAGCTGGGTGGCTTTAGACCAATCGCCAGGAGACGGTGAATTCTAGTCCCGCCTTAGACATGAAACCCATCTGGGTGACTTTGGGCCAATCACTAGGAGATGGAGAGTTCTAGTCCTGCCTTAGGGATGAAAGCTAGCTAGGTAACTCTGGATCAATCCCCTCACAGGGTCGTTGTTACGGGAAAAATAGGAGGAGAAAGGAGTACCGAGTCATTTATAAAAATAATAAGGGCAGGATACAAATAATAAACAAATAAATAAATATGTCTCTCTCTCTGTATATGTGTATAATACATATAATAGAATTGCTATCATGGGTTCTGCATTGGCATCTGCTAAGTTCCTGGGGGCGATTGGGAAAAAAAAATTGTTTATTTCAAAGCTTTACTTGGCTTGGATCCCCCCCCCCCAATGTTTCCCCCTCAGGGTAAAACTGGAGTGCCGGATATGTTAGGAGCAGGAATCGGACCTGAGCAATGATTAGCGAAGGAGGCTTTATCTCAAAAGGAGATTTATTGATGGGAAATGCATGAAGGAGTTTGTACCTAGCACAACCCAGCCTGTCCGTGGGGGACTAGGCTGAAGCTGCCACACCTAGATAATAAAAGGGCACCTGAGCAATTAATAAGAATAAAGCTGGAAGGGAACTCAGAGGCCTTCTAGTCCAGCCCACTGCTCAAGCAGGAGACCTATGCCATATCAGACAAGTGACTATCCAGTCTCTTCTTAAAAGCCTCCAGTGATGGAGCATCTACAACTTCTGGTGGCAAGCTGTTCCACTGGTTAACTGTCCTCACTGTTAGGAAGTTTCTCCTTAATTCCAGATTTGCTTCTCTCCTGGATTAGTTTCAGAGCCCACTGTAACAACATTGCCAAAAAGGCATTTAAGAGTTGTGAACCTAATCTTGTGTAGCTTCTTCTCTTGTAATGTTGTACTACTAACTAGAGCATACAAAACCTTTGCTAGACCAATTCTTGAATACAGCTCATCTGTCTGGAACCCTGCACTGCATATCGGACATAAATACAATCGAGAGAGTCCAGAGATATTTTACGAGAAGAGTCCTCCATTCCTCTCCTTCTGCAATAAAATACCTGATGCCAGCAGACTCCAAATTTTGGGCTTAGACAACCTAGAACTACGCCGACTTCAGTCTGACCTAAGCATAGTACATAAAATTATCTGCCACAATATCCTACCTGTCAATGACTACTTCAGCTTCAACCACAACAATACACGAGCAAATAATAGATACAAACTCAAGGTAAACCTCTCCAAACTCGGTTGCAGAAAATACGACTTTAGCAACAGAGTGGTCAATGCCTGGAATGCACTACCTGACTCTGTAGTTTCTTCCATAAACCCCCAAAACTTTAACTTTAAACTGTCTACTTTTGGCCTCACCCCATTCCTAAGAGGTCTGTAAGGGGCATGCATAAGTGCACCAGAATGCCTATTGTCCCTGTCCTAATATTCCTTTTTACTCTTACTCTTTTCATGTATTCAAATTATGTTTATACTTTCATTTATTTACTGTTTATTTATTGGTTCGATTTATATGCCGCCCTTCTCCGGAGACTCAGGGCGGCTTACAATGCGTTAAGCAATAGCCTCCATACTTTTGTATATACCTACTTAGTAGGGCTTTCGCCCCTCCCCTAAGCGGTGTTCTTTTTTTAATACAAAGTCAGTTTATTTTCCCCACAAACTGGGTCCTCATTTTACCTACCTCGGAAGGATGGAAGGATGAGTCAACCTTGAGCCTGGTGAGATTTGAATTTGCAGTAATTGCAGGCAGCTGGTGTTATTTAAGAGCACTTTAGTCTGCTGTGCCACCAAGGCTCTTATCTTTTACCTGTTATCTTATATATGGCCTGGCCTAAATCTTCTCCTCTTTTAAATTTAAATTTTAAATTTTAAATACAAATTTTAATTTGTTATGGGGTATTTTAAAATTCAGCCAAATTATTTAATTCGTTTTAATCTATTTTAAATTTTGTATCTCTGTGTTTTATCTTCTGGCTGTTCACCGCCCTGAGTCCTTCGGGAGAAGGGCGGTATAGAAATTTAATAAAATAAAATAAATATGCTTGACAAATAAACTTATGATTATGATTATGATCATATCAAGATAATGAGAAATGTTAATAATGCCTTGGTAAGGCCACTCTTAGAATACTGCATCCAGTTTTGGTCGCCACGATGTTCAAAAAAATGTTGACTTGTTGAGACTCTAGAAAGAGTGCCGAGAAGAGCAACAAAGATGATTAGGGGGCCGGAGGATAAAACATATAAAAAATGTTTGCTCGAATTTGGTATGTCTAGTTTGATGAAAAGAAGGACTCAGGGTGATGTGATAGGAGTCTTCCAATATCTCAGGGGCTGCCCCAAAGAAGAGGGAGTCAAGCTATTCTCCAAAGCACCTGAGGGCAGGACAAGAAGCAATGGGTGGAAACTCATCAAGGAGAGAAGCAACCTTGAATTGAGGATGTCTATGGAGATTCTCCATCATCCAGATCATGGACAACTGGACTTCCTGGTTTTTCCTTGAAGACGTTTCGCTTCTCATCCAAGGAGCTTCTTCTTCTTTTTTTTTTTTTAATTTGATTTATATGCCGCCCTTCTCCGGAGACTCAGGGCGGCTTACAGTGCATTAAGCAATAGCCTTCATACTTTTGTATATTTATACAAAGTCAGCTTATTGCCCCCACAAACTGGGTCCTCATTTAACCTACCTTAGAAAGGATGGAAGGCTGAGTCAACCTTGAGCCTTGGAGAGATTCGAACCAGCAGTAAATTGCAGGCAGCTGTGTTAATAACAGGGTGCTTTAAACCACTGTAGTACCAAGGCTCTTCTTCACCTCAGTGTCAGGTTTCGGTGTCGTCTCAAATAAATTGCATTTCCAAACAAATAGTCTTTGATGAAATCTTTCATTTATTAAGCACGACAATCTGTCCCTGACTCCGTCATAGCCAACACTGACTTCCTGACCCCAAACCTTCCCTTTCTGTTCCCCAATTCTCTGCGTCTCATTGGCCATCTTCCAAATCACTCTTCCCATATCTACTACTTCAGCTCCCAGGAATGTCCCCCCTCCCATCCCATCTCCTAGGGGATATTATCTTCAGGGAAAATAAGTAGGTGAAAAGTCAAGCGTCCTCTTGCCAGCTGCCCCCTCTTCTCCTCCTTATGTCAGCACTGGAACGAATGTAACTTGGAGTGCGGACACTCAGACTGGATGGTGGGGAATGGAAGTTTCTCCAGTCAGAGCTGAAGAAGCTTCTTGGATGAGAAGCAAAACGTCTTCAAAGAAAAACCAGAAAGTCCAGTTGCCTCTTGGAAAAAAAAGCACCTTTGGGACTGGAACTGAGGAGAAACTTCCTAACAGTGAGAACAATTAACCAGTGGAACAACTTGCCACCAGAAGTTGTGGGTGCTCCATCACTGGAGGTTTTTAAGAAGAGATTGGACAACCATTTGTGTTTAATGATGTAGGGTCTTTTGCCTGAGTAGGGGGATTTTGGACTAGAAGACTTCCAAGGTCCCTTCTCGAGATGTCGAGACTCTGGAAAGAATGCAGAGAAGAGCAACAAAGACGATTAGGGGACTGGAGACTAAAAAATATAAAGGACGATTACCAGAATTGGGCATCTCTAGTTAAATGGGGTGACATGACGGCAGTCTTCCAATATTTGAGAGGCTGCCACAGAAAAGAGTGGGGGTCAACCTATTCTCCAAAGCACCTGAAGGTATTATGGAATGATGGGACCAAACAACATTCCTGGTCAGCCAGAGACAGTTTATTGCACAGTTTCAGAACCAGATTTGTATCTGCAATTCTGAACCAAGAAGAGCTCTGATACAACTGCTTTTATACATATCCAAGACAAAGGATTTTGTGAGCACAGCCGTTTTCCATATATGGTTAACATACATTTGTTACATTATAATTGACACTTTCTAATTACTAAATTCCTTCATTATTTTCTAGTTCATAAGATTATCTTAGCTAAACAACCTTCCTCAGTTCTGTGATTGCTGATGCGTAGATTTATGGTTGCTTTGGATAATAAGTAACTTTTTGTTTCTTATGGATGTCCTTGCATCCTTGACAGCTAGGCCCCTCAGAAGATATATATATATTACCAAGAATGGAATTTAGCTGACTTAGTGTAATCTCTAAACAAGCACATTTCGTTCTTATAATAATGTGAATAAAGAGGGTCCTTCAGTGTTCATATAGCTGACCCTGTACTATTCCTACATTATTCACATTAAAGGCAGGACACAAAAATCAACAACACAAGAGTACAGGTAATTCTTGACTTATGACTGATTTTGCTTAATGACCAAAGTTATGACCTACCTGAAAAAGGTAGCCAATGATTGTGCCTGCTGATCATGTCACTGTCACTATCCTGTACTCACGTGACTCTGATTTATAATAGTTTAACCCCAAAATGATATTTATGTGCAGTTTTGGGCAAAACTGTGACATAGCAAACGATGGATTCATTTAACAGATGCAGCATTCCTTTAAGTGCTGCAAAAGTTGTGAGCACACGGTCTGTTTTATGACCATTACAACTTATTATGGGCAGGATCCATTATGGTCATAAGTCGAGGACTACCTGTAGTGGTCAGTTTTGAGCAGGGGGTCAACTTATTTTCCAAAGCACCAGAAAGCAAGACAAGAAACAATGGAGAGAAGCAACCTGGAATTAGGGAGAAACTTCCTAACAGTGAGGACAATTAACCAGTGGAACAGCTTGCCACCAGAAGTTGTGGGTACTTCATCGCTGGGGTTTTTAAGAAGAGACTGGACAGTCACTGGTCTGAAATGGGATAGGAACTCCTGCTGGAGCAGGGGGCTGGACTAGAAGACCTCCAAGGTCCCTTCCAACTCTATTCTGATTCTGAAGGTTGAGTTGAAAGCCATTTGCGTGTGGTTGTTGATCAGTCTGTGACCATCACATGAATTATGGCAACTCGTTGTAAATGTGAACAGGTTGCCAAGAATCCATATATCATCTCCTTTTAATGTTCCCATAATTCCTTGCAGGGTGGAGTCTGGGCAACTGAATGGAGTTGAGTGTTTACTGGCCGGATGCCTTTCCTGTTGCCATTGAGGAGTTTTGTTCAGCAGATATATTCTCTCTCTCTTTTTTTTTTATTGAAAAGTTTTAAAATGTTTTACAAACAAATTCCCCCCTTCCTCCCCCCTTCCCCTCTCCCTCCCCCCGCCCCCTGACTTTCCAGAGCAAAATACAGGGTATTGCATTTAACAAACATAATCTAACATAAGCAAACTAACTAAAAACTCTTAACTTCCCCTTACTCTTTAACTCCGCCATAGGTACTAAAATATCAAAGTAGAAAAAAAAATCATCTAAATATTTCATTCATAAGCTATTTGCAACTTTTTGAAACCCTCTTTCCCCTCTTTTCCTGAGGGAAAAATTTTCAAGCCGCTAAACAGCTGTTTTTCGCTGTTCTAGCGGCTTTGACGAGATCGTGGGGCTAGTGCTCCGAAAGGAGCTGCCATCGACGCCGCGTTGCCACCGGAAGTCTCGTTCAGCAGATATATTCTCATGGTGCCCTGAGAGAGAAATATCTGCCTCTACCTAGAATCGAACTCGCACCATCTTGATTGTGAGGCGAGAGCTGCACCTCTAGGCCACCGCACCACTCAGTCCACATGACCACATATGCCGCAAATGAAATAACTTTGGGCACCCAGCGAACAAGTCCTTTTGTTCAACACCACCGTACAGCTAGTCCTCCATTTATGACCACAATTGAGCCCAAAATTTCTGTTGCTAAGTGAGACATTGATTAACTGAGCTTTGCCCCGTTTTACGACCTTTCTTGCCAGAGTTGTTAAGTGAATCACTGCCGTTGTTAAATTAGTAAGACGGTTGTTAAGTGAATCTGGCTTCCCCATTGACTTTGCTCATCGGAAGGTCACACAAGGAAATCACATGACCCCAGGATGTTGCAGCCGTCATAAATATGAGCCACTGGCCAAACATTTGACTTGATGAGATGATCACGGAGACGCTGCAACGGTTGTAAGCGTGAACAACGGTCGTAGGTCCCTTTTGTTCAGTGTCGTTGTAACTTCGAACGGTCACTAAATGAGCCGTTGTAAATTGAGGACTACCTGTAATTTCAAACGGTCGTAAGTCGAGGACTGCCTGTCATCCAATCCCTGGTAACATGCAGGTGAACTGATTAAACCATTTCTGAGATAACAGTCCAACCTCTTCTTCAAAACCTCCAGAGGCGGGGATCAAGCATCAAGTCCTCATTGAGTTCTGTACATTAATCGATTTATTTCAATCTATTTAAATCGGCCAGAAGCTTGTGTTTTGTTGCAAAAGTGTGACTCTTATTTTGTCAACCCTTTGCAGGGATCGCAACGGGAGCAGCCCTCCCAGTGTCCACCCAACATCCGGCCATTGAAGACGACTACTCCACGCCAAATGTTCCTTCCACGCTAATATTCGCCGATTATTTTGGGCCCACTCTACCTACAACCACCGAGGAGGATCTGGACTTTCCAGCTGAAACCCCCTCCCCTTCCGAGACGAATGGGGAGACCCCCGAAGCTGTTGGAGAAGGGGAGACATCAAGTCCTGGAGAACCTCCCAATTCTGGGTTGGCGTCCAGCGAAGACGATTCTGGTTCTCTCGCCAGCACGCCCAAAACCTTCAAAATCCCAGAAGATCTCAAGGAAACCTTGGAAGTCCCTTCGGTGGAGAAGAGCGTCTTGGCTCAAGTCAACTCTTCAGAGCCAACTTTGGGGAAAGAGACCCTTCAAGGAGACCCTCTTGCTGAGTCCCAGGAAGCTTCAAAGGAAACACCTCCTCCAGATTTGGATGCTGGCCACGAAGCCACCGAGCTAATCACGGAGAGATACTCTGGCATAACAGATGCTCCCGTGACTGTTTTGGCAACCTTGAAGGAAGACTTCCTAGCATCTTCCTCTAGAGAAGAAGCCCAGACTGAACTTTCCAGCGAAAGTCCTCCAGAAGGAGACAAACCGTTGGAGAACATCCCTGAAGAACCAAATCTGGAGGAGGAATTGAAGCCCACCTCAACTTCATGGGAAGAAACAGAAGCTGCCCCTTTAGAGGCAGAGAAAGACACCCCAGAATCATCCACGGATGAGGGTAGGACAATAGAAGATCCATCCTCAAATTCCACAGTTTTTCCTAGCACCCCAGAAGACCTGCCTGACCAAGGAACAGAAGAGAACGTAGATGCTGGAGATCAACCTTCATTGTCTTCAGAGAGTAGTCCCGAGACCTCACAGTCTTCAACAGGGTTCCCTCCCATTTGGCCAGCGTCCGCCGATGAAAATTTTGGATCTGCAGAGACAAGTGACTTTGATGTAGTCTCCCTTCAACCATCTCCGGCTAGTGTGGATTCTGGTTCTCCTGAAGGAAGAGGTGATACAGATCCAATTCCATCTTCATCAGGCCCAGAGCTCAATCATGAAAGCCCTGTCAACTTGACCAGTGAAGAACCAGAAGACTTTGTAGATGCTGAAGCACCAAATTCCTCTCCTTCAGATAGAACAACTGATGGTCCATCTGACTCAGGGCCTCCCAGTGACACCCTCGTTAGGACTTCACAATTGGATGCATCAGATATTCCTTTGATGGGACTTTCTGTAACGCCAGAGAGACCTTCTCAGTTGCCTGAAGATGGTGAGGTGGAGACAACCTCCACAGTGGAAGAAGAAGGAGAAGACGACTCAGGAAACCCAAAGAGCAATGAAGGGACATCTTTGGTGTCATCACTTCCAGGACAAGAGTCTGCCCAGGGAACTGATGAAGAAAGATCTGCAGATCTCCTCAGTGACACAGCTTCCTCCTTGAACCCTGGGGTGGAAACAGCTAATTCAGAGTTAGAAGATAGTGAGGCTACTACCACATCCAACAGTGTTCCTGAGGATGAAATAAATCCCATCTCTTCAGATTCGGCTACTGTGTCTGAAAATGAATCAGGGTCTTTGTTTGATACGACAGCGGGTTCTCCTCCACCTGTGGACAACGAAGGAGCTGACAAGGCTCAAGAACCACCTGCAGGAACTCAAGGATCACCCACAGAAGCTTCCGCTCCTGCCTCTAGTGATGGACCATCTTCAGAGACAGAAGGAAATGAGGTCTCGCCTAGTGGATCACCTGGAAATATCGGTTCCTCTTTGGATGAGGTAGACACAGAAGCCAACAGTGAAGATGGCAGTGGGTCAGATCTCTCACCTCCTGGATCTACCAATGAACCATCTTCAGAGAGAGAAGGAAGTGAGGCCTTGTCCAGTGGATCATCTGGAAATATGGGTTCTTCTTCTGAAAATAGTGACACCATCCCAAGTGTTTCCTCAGATGAGGTAGACACACAAGCCAACAGTGAAGATGGCAGTGTATCAGATCTCCCACCTCCTGATACAGAGCTCTCTTCAATTTCTGGAACCCCACAGCCTCTGGGAAGATCAGGGACCTTGAATGATCAACCGTCTCAAAGTCAGTCACTTGTAGAGAATGCACTAACATCTGGTTCCAGTTTCTCCTCAGAAGGAGAACCTACCTTTCCTTCAACATCTCCTGATGAAGCACTTTCTGGATCTCTAATTTCAGAAGCCAGACACAACAGAACTTTCGTCCAATTCATTACCTGGTTCCCAACCTTCTTCTCAACTACCAAAAGAGAATGACATGGAAACAAGTTCAGGGGACTTAGAAGGACCCCCTGCAGAAGCTTCAGCTTCTGGATCTACCAATGAATCATCTTCAGTGAGAAAAGGAAGTGAGATCTTGCCCAGTGGGTCACCTGAAGGTTCCCAACCTTCTTCTCAACTACCAGAAGAGAATGATATGGAAACAGGTTCAGGGGACGTAGAAGATTCTCCTCTTCCTCTTGTGGACAACCAAGGAGCTGCCAAGGCTCAAGGACACCTGCAGAAGCTTCCGCTCCTGGATCTACCAATGAGCCATCTTCAGAGAGAGAAGGAAGTGAGGTCTTGCCCAGTGGATCACCTGGAAATATGGGTTCTCCTTCTGAAAACAGTGACACCATCCCAAGTGTTTCCTCAGATGAGGTAGACACACAAGGCAACGGTGAAGACCGCAGTGTGTCAGATCTCCCACCTTCTGATACAGATCTCTCTTCAATTTCTGAAACCCCACTGGCAACTTCTTCCCAACCACCAAAAGAAAATGACACGGAAACATACTCAGAGGTTCCAGAAGATTCTGTTTCCATCGATGGAGAAGAAACTTCCTCTGCTCCATCCATCATAAACTCTCAGTCGGCTCTTGCAGAAGCTACTGAGGAACCAAACATTTCTGGAGACTTAAGCGATGGACCAATCATATCTCCTAAAGAAGAGAGAATTGGATCTACTTCGGAGCCAGGGGTTAATGAGGAACATCTTCTAGATGGTGACAATACCCAGGACAAAATCAATACTCCACCTTCTGATCAACAGCTAGTTTCTGAAGATATACTGGAAACTAGTATCCCAAGCTCTGGCGATGAACCAGGTGTAAAATCTGGAACAATTTCTCCCCTTGTAGACACTGAGACGTCAACAAAAACTCAGGAACCCTCAGGAGAAACATCTTCTGCATCTATTGAGGATATGCTCTCCAATTCAGAGAATGAAGATGGAGAACCCTCCCCAAGTCTATCATCCAAAACTCTTGATTCTTCTCCAGGCGGTGAAGTTGTAGATGAAAATAGTGATGGGGAAGATGACACAGGATCAGCTTCATCAGCCAAAACAGCCATTACAGTGAACAACGATGGTCAGCCTGGAAGTGACTTTCCTGTGGGACAATTAGTAACTTCACCCATTGGAGGAATTTTAGCTCTGGCACCTATAGAAGATGGAGAGACCTCAGTCCCAAGGGATGATGCTCAATTGTCAACAGGAGCCGTATCCTCTGAGGATGCGACACCACAATCAGCCTCTTCTGCTGAAGGAATGGAAACTTCTGCTTCTGAGCCATCCGCTGTGGGTTCTCAACCATCTCCAGATGATGAAGCAGCACCTGAAACTTCTAATGAGACAGAACAAACATCTGCAACTAGTGAGAATGTATCACCTATGGCTTCATCGACCGCAGAGTCACAAGAACCCACAACCTCAGAAAGTGGTGAGTTTTCTGGAGCACTCAACGAAGAACGTCCTGCCTCCCCTGTTGAAGTGGCGGGAATTGCCAATTCACCTCCAGCAACTGACAAATCATCTCAGTTCCTTCCAGAAGGTGTGGCTTCTTCTGATGGAGTAGAAGATTCCGAAGACCTCACTAATACGATCGGTGAGATATCTTCTCAAGGTCCATTGGACAGAGGATCAGAGTCTAAAACATCTACCAGTGAAGAGGATACTGAAGGACGTAGTGATGGAGAACTGTCCCTAAATAATAACGGGACTGAAACAGCCACGGTGGAATCAGCAAATAATGGAGGATCTCAGCTACTTCCTGATGGTGCTCAGCCATCTACAACCACTGGAACTTCTGAGATATCAGAAGGTCCCTCCAGTGTAAATGGGCAGGAAGGATCTTTGATCCCATCAGCTGCAGAGTCACATTCAACTTCTACTTCTACTGAAGAAGTGGAAAATGCCAACTTAGAATCTGGGACTCAACCATCTCTAGATGGTTCACCAACAACAGAGGTTCAAGATTCTAAGAGCGCAGAAGCAGCAGAAGATACTTCCAACGATGGGGAGAAATTGTCTTTGACCTTATCAGCCACAGCATCAAAATCTCCTGGAATATCAGATGGCGAGGATGTTTCTGGAGGAACTGGTGAAGAGTTGGAAATGACTGGTTCGGGGTCAACAAATAATGCAGGAGCTCAGCCATCTGTGGTGGCTGGTGGAGCCACTGAAACATCTGATGCGTCCAACAGAGTAGAACCATTAGAAAGCTCTTCTGCCAATGAGGGAGATACTTCTTTAGGTTCCTCAGCTGCAGAATCATCAACTGCACCAGAAGTTCAAGAGGTCTCTGGAAAACCTAGCGATGGAGATGGGATGGAAGCAGTCAATTCAGAACCAGCAACTAACGCAGAACCTCAATCATCTCCAAATGATGTTGTTGGGCCAGGTGGAGCTCCAGCTCCTGAAGAGGCAGGAACACCAGAAGTCTCAGGAACGAATGAAGGATCTTTGGCTGCATCTGCTCCAGAATCACAAGCCATCTCTTCTTCCAATGAAGAAGAAACTAGCAACACAGCCACAAATGCAGGATCTCAACTACCTCTAGATGGAGAATCAACAGCAGGGACTCTACCTCCTGATGGTGCAGAGATAGCAGAAGCGTCTTCCAGCGTGCCTGAGGAAAAGGGACCTTTGTCTCCATCCACTCCAGAGTCACTAGAAGATTCATCTTCCGCCAAAGAGGTGGAAACTGCCAGCAGAAAGTCAACAACCGATGAAGGATCTCAGCTATCAGCAGATGGAACTTCACCAGAAGATTCCCTTGCTTCTGAGGGAGCAGAACCAAAAGAAAGCCACTCCATCGCCAGTGGGGACAAGGCTTCTCCAGTTCCATCAGCCACAGAAGTACAATTGCCAGAAACATCTGCCAACGAAAAAGTTCTTGGAGGACTTGAGAATGGAGAATCTTCCTTATCCCCAGGAAAAGAGATAGCCAACACAGAGTCATCATCAAACAATGCAGGATCTCAAACATCTCCAGATAGCGTAGCAACAGAAGGGGAAGAAGCAGAGACATCTCAAGACAATTCAATTGTAAGCGAGAAGCAATTATCCTTAGCTCCATCGTCTACTAAACCACAGTCCCCTGGGACATTGGTCAGCAAAGATGTTTCTGAAAACCTGGTTAATGGAGAACCAGCGCTCTCCACCGATGGAGGGAAGGATATTGCCAACATAGGAACAGCAGGTGCCCAAGCGTCCATGTCTTCCACAGGAACAGATCCGAATCAAAACAATATAGCAGAGCAATTTGGACAAAATTCAGAGTCAATAAGTGGACAACCTTCTGCTGATGGAGCCATGATTGGTAAATCTCCAGAAGAAACCTTGATTCCCAGCTCAGTGTCTTCTGATGGGAATTTGGCCACCCAAGGAACAAGCCAGGATTTTGGTGCTCCAGGTTCTTCTCAGCCATCTTCAGATATCCAGGGCAATTTGGCAAATTCCATCAATGCTGGACGTACAGAAGACTCTCTTCTCTCTCTAGGTGACCATATTTCTATTGGTGATACTTTGGGTGTACCAGAAGGTCCAATCTTGGATGCAAAAGCAGGTGGAGAGGTTCTCCAAGGAGCCTCTGAGGCTTTGGCCAGTGTCAATAACTTAATCCATCCATCTTCTGCCGAAGGAACCAAACCAGCAGCAGGTCAACTATCAGGAGTGGCATCTCCATTGGCTTTCTTGCTTCCCAAAAATGGCCTGCTCTTAACATCTTCTAATTTAGGTGGCCCAAAGCTAGGAAATGTGGTTGGGAAAGGTTCATCTCCCTCAACGCCAGAAGAACAAAGTGAAGTTGTCAATTCAATCTTGGCAGTTCACAAGGAGATATCCACAGCTTCTTCTGCAGATGGAGGCCAACCTTCTCTTTTGGGTGCTAAAGGAAGTCCAGCAAAGGTATCAAAGTTGCTTCCTGGGAAACCAGGACCTCAAGACAAAGTAGATGCCCTTCTCCTGCCCTCCAAGCCTGAAGTCCCAGCAAAGGCATCAAAATTGACTTCTGGAAAACCAGGACTTCAAGGTAAAGCAGATGCCCCTCAACTGTCCTCCAAGCCTGCAGTCCCAGAGGAGACACCACAGTTGCCTTCTGGAAAATCAGAACCTCAACTCACAGCAGATAGCCATCTCCTGTCCTTCAACTCTGACGTCGTAGCCAATTCAGAGCGCACCGTTCCTGGGAAACCGGGTTCCTCATCTTCAGAGAGCACTTCTGCTTCAGATGAGAATGACAGGGACTCTTCAAGTAGCTCCAACCTGTCAGAAGAGCGCCAGAGTTTCATGAAAGGTAAGGTTGCTCTTGACTTAAGCAAAGCCAAACCGGGCGGGAGTGAACATCTTGCCTTATCTGGAGTGGGCCTACTAGCCATAAAGTCCTCAGAACCCACCGGCAAAACCGCAAAGAAGAAGTCCGATTCGAAGAAGTCCAAGGACAAGAAAAACAAACGAAATGAAAAACCCGCCATCATCACTGGTGTACCATCAGGTGGGTTGGTGAGAGAAACCACATTTTCTCCGTCTGGTAGATGGACGGTCTTCCTACTAACAGGATTAACAGTAGAGATGAGTAGCCACGGTCCCTTTAAGACTTGTGGACTTCAACTCCCAGAATTCTTGAGACAGCATGGGATTCTGGGAGTTGAAGTCCACAGTTGTAAAGGGTCCATAGCTGGATCCATCTCTGGGATAACAGGTTCTTCCCTTCCTGTAGCGTCCATGTTATGCATCCATTGAAGGCATCTATCAAAAAAGTCAAGATGGCGGCTGCACTCTGTAAAGGGGGCGGGGCTTGAATCACATGGTTGCCGCCATCTTAAATTTTGACCGTCTCTGGGGACAGATTGCATCCAATCGTATTTTAGCAGCAATAACAGGTAGCCCTCGACTTTAGCGACCATTCGTTTAGCGACCGTTTCAAAGTTACAACGGCGCTGAAAAAGTGAACTATAACCCATCCTCACACTTATGACCGTGGCAGCATCCCAAGGTCACATGATCAAAAATTGCGCCATTTGCGGCCTTCCCAGCCAGCTTCTGACAAGCAAAATCAGTAGTGGGGGGGGGAGCTGGATTCACTTAACAACCATGTGATTCATTTAAAGACTGCAGTGATTTGCTTAACCTTGGCAATAAAGCTCATAAAATCAGGCATTCACTTAACAACTGCCTTATTTAGCAATGGAAATTCTGATTGTACGTAGTCGTAAGTCGAGGACTATCTGATGTTCATTAGAAACCCTGATTTTCAAGATTGTGTATCATTTAATAAGCTATCGCTGCTGTGTAAATCAACAAAAGAAGTCCTGATATTGCTTTTATTCTTCTTACGGCCATTTTACCGTCCTTGTGTCCAAAAACTGTGGACACAAAAAATGTTAAATGTGAGTGAACGTGATAATAATTATAATAACGATCAGCTTCTACGCCTTAATATCCATCAATGTTTTCAGTATTCCTGGTTTAAATTTAAACCATGATCCACCCCAGACTGAAAGTCAAAAACGGCTGAGTAAAAACCGAACCAAAATGACCTCAATTGTTGTCACGTGTTGTATATAGGTGCAGCGGTCTCCTTGTACCCCTACGGTGCCAGCGTGAACGATAAGCAGTACGTCGAAAGGAAAGTGGATTTTAACTCGCCCCTCTTCAAGCCCGAGATTGGGATCCCGCTTGGAAAAACCCTCCGCAACTCTCTTTACGTGAGTAATTAGTGATTTGAGATTCACCAAGCGGTGGTGTGTACGTGTGTCAGGCATGAAGAATCAGGACCACACGTTAAGTTCCAGTTAAGTTGATTTACGCACACAAGAATCTGGCCAACTAACAGTCAGGACTAAATTGGTGCTAGAGAAGAATCAACGGAATTCAAAAAGGGTTGAATTTAAACCATTTGTGACCATGTAAGAATTCTAGGCTGATTGCTCTCTTGACTCCGACCCCAGGCTCTGCCTCTCCTTTTCCTCCATGGAAACGTACCTCTCCCACAACTCTGTTATTCTCCTTATTCTTCTCTTATTCTGTTCACAAAGGGGAATCCTCACCTTGCTAGGACCAAGCAGGTGAGAGGGTCACATTGGGGGGGGGGGTCTTTGGAGGAGCCAGTGATAAAACATGCATCGGATATGGAGCCTCCAATTGCACATGGCTAAGTTGTGTAGAGAGTGGTGGGAATGGCCTAGAACAGTATTGGCAAACCTTTTCGGCACCGAGTCTCAAAATGGGAGTACGGACGCTCACCGGAGCACCGGAAACTGGAAGAGCCGCTCGCCGGCACGCACACCAGGGGTGAAATTAATTTTTTTCCCCCTACTCATTCTGTGGGTGTGGCTTGTTGGGGGAAGTCATCTGACTGGGTGGGCGTGGCCAACTTGACATCACTCACATCAAGGGGCTCCTCACCGGCCCCTCCTCTCCCAGCTACTCCTTATCGCGAATGGCAGGAAAATGGGGAGAGGAATATTCCCGCTTAACGTCCTTCCCTCAGTCTGTGCTGAGATTGAGGAATGGATGACAGGCAGGAAAATCCCCTTCCCCATTTTCCTGCCTTTCACGAAAATGGAGCTCCATTCCAGCTGCTCCCCGTTTCCCGTCCCCCATCCCCCTCCCTCCTGGGGACTATTTTAAAGGGAAAGCTTACAGGGACGTCCTAAATGGAGGGAGAAAAGTTAGCATTCTCTCCTGCTGCATTAAACATTGAATTCTGAGGCAGAGAGAATGCTAACTTTTCTCCCTCCATTCAGAACAGAGCTGCTGCTCCCTTTAAGGTTTCCCTCCCGGCCCCCTCCCTCCTGGGGACTACCTTAAAGGGAAGGCTTACAGGGACGTCCTAAATGGAGGGAGAAAAGTTAGCATTCTCTCTGTTGCATTTAACATTGAATTCTGTGGAATATCCAGTGTCCAGAAGAGGTGAGCGGCGACCAGCCAGGCGTGGGTGGGGCCAAGGAGGTAATTACTACCAGTTCGGCAAACTGATGCCAATAATCCCTAGCGGTTCTCCCGAACCGGTCTGAACCAGTAGGATTTCACCCCTGCCGCACGCGCAGGAGTGCCAGAAATTGGAAGATCAGTTCCCCAGCGTGCATGCATGTGCCGGGAAACTGAGCTTCCAGTTTCCGGCATGCGCATCAGTCACCTGGTCTTCCGGTTTCTGGTGCGCATGTGCGCAAAGACCAGATGGTTTGCACGAATGCACGTGCTAGAAATTGGAAGCTCAGCTTCCTGGTGTGCACATGCCTGCCAGGGAGCTGCTCTTCCAGTTTTTGTTACTCCCGCGTGCACGAAGACCAGCTGGCTGGCGCGGTATGCACCGGGAGACAGCTGGCGTGCCCGGAGAGTTGGCTCTGCGTGCCACTTCCGGCACGCATGCCATAGGTTCGCCATCACGGGCCTCGAAGGACAGGAGGAAGAACACCTGCGAATGCAACAATCGGATAGCAATAGCACTTAGACTTCTATACCGCTTCACAGTGCTTTACAGCCCTAGTCTAAGCGGTTTACAGAGTGACCCCCCCAAAAATCTGGGTCCTCATTTTACGGACCATGGAAGGGCGGAAGGTTGAGTCAACCTTGAGCCGGTCAGGATCGAACTGCCAAACTGCTAGCAGTTGGCAGGTAGCCAAATTAGCCTGCAATACTGCATTCTAACCAGTGCACCGCCATGGTTCTGCGCCAGATACAGGCAGTCCTCGTTTTATGACCATTTATGTCATTTGAAATTAACAACCTACCTGAAAAATGGGACTTAGGACCCAGATTCATAGTTCCAGCAAACTCTCCCCCTTCCAATCATATGATGCACTTCAGGCATTCAGCAATTAAAGCATCCAGAGGTCACATGACCACGTGTTACAACAATACAGGTAATCCTTGATTTACAACCATTCATTTAGCGACCGCTTGAAGTTACAACAGCATTGAAAAAAGGGACTTATGACCGGTTCTCACACTTACGACTGTTGCAGCATCCCCACGGTCGGTCACGTGATCAAGATTCGGCTGCTTCGTTCTTGAGAATTTTTTTTTTTTAATGTTTATGTTGGAAAAAATAAAATTTTTTTACAAAAAATTAAAAAAAGATGACGGTCGCCGTGTCCTGGGGTCACCCCTTCGGCAACCTTCGGACAAGCAAAGTCCGTGGGGAAGCCAGATTCGCTTAACAACCGTGTGACCCACTTCACCACTGCCGTCATTCACTTAACAACGATGGCAAGAGAGGTCGTAAAATGGGGCAAAACTCACTTAACAACTGTCTCGCTTAGCGACAGAAATGTTGGGTTCAATCCCAGTCAAGAGTCTGCATATATAATATGCAGACTTTTTTTAGCTCTTTTTAGCTTTTTAAGTGTAAATTGGGTTTTAATTGGATTGTTTTAAATTGTGGGCCAAAGCTGTATAATTCTTTTAATTGATTTTAAATTTTGTATTGGTTATGTTTTTTATCCTTGGCTGTGCACCGCCCTGAGTCCAATAGGAGAAGGGCGGTATATAAATTGAATAAATAATAATAATAATAATAATAATAATAATAATAATAATAATAATAATAATAATAATATACATTTAGTAAAATTATTATTACTACAGTATAACATAGAATAATGTATATTAGGCGTTGATCTATTATGATGTATAATGCAGCAAACTGTGTTAGCTACATAAGCATTGATTTTTAAAAAAGCAGAATCTCTTTCTGATGGACTCCATCTTTTGATGCTTTCCTTTAGTTCACGGATAACGGACAGATCGTCTTCCCCGCCTCTGACAAAGATATTTCCAGCTATCCCAAGCCACCTTCCGGTGGTTTTAATGGTCGTGAGGAAGTGCCCATGGTGGCTGTGTTTTGGGACAATGCTGACTTCTCCAAAGGATCTGGCACCATCTTTTACCAGGTGAATGTCGATGGCTTTACGCTACGGACCTCTAAGAAGCAAAATTAGTCCAGTTAATCCAGTGTTTCTCAACCTTGGCAACTTTTAAGAGGTGTGGACTTCAACTCCACACCTAAGAGCCTGTAGTACAGTGGATTAAAGCACTGTTATTAACATCTGCTGCTTGCAATTACTGCAAGTTCGAATCTCCCCAGGCTCAAGGTTGACTCAGCCTTCCATCCTTTCTAAGGTAGGTGAAATGAGGACCCAGATTATGGGGGCAATAAGCTGACTTTGTATAAAATATACAAAAGTATGAAGACTATTGCTTAACGCATTGTAAGCCGCCCTGAGTCTCCGGAGAAGGGCGGCATATAAATTAAAGCAAAAAAAACCAAAACTCCCAGAATTCCCTAGCTAGGGAATGGGGCTTGCTGAGAGGAGGACGGGAAGGGAGAGGAGGAGGAGGAGGAGGAGGAGGAGGAGGAGGAGGAGGACTGTGGGGTCCTCGGTGCTCTCTGAGCTGAGTGGTTTTCCTGAAGACATTTTGTGACCCAACTAGGTAACATCATCAGTGCTGGAAAGGAATGGGGTTTGCAGAGAGGAGGAGGAGGAGGAGGAGGAGGAGGAGGAGGAGGAGAACGATGACTGTGGGGTCCTTGGTGCTCTCTGAGCTCTGTGGTTTTCTTGCAGACATTTTATTACCTGACTAGATCACATCATCAGTGCTAGAAGGGAGTAGGGTTAGCCTTCAACCTTCCAGCACTGATGATGCTACATAGTCCAGTAATGAAATATTTGCAAGAAAACAGCCCAGCTCAGACAGCACCAAGGACCTCTCCCTCCTCCTCCTTCTCCTCCTCCTCCTCCTCCTCCTCCTCCTCCTCCTCCTCCTCCTCAAAAACCCCCTCCCTTCTAGGCTTGATGATGTCACCTAGTCAAGTAATGAAACATTTACAAGAAATCAACCAAGCTCAGAGAGCATCAAGGACCCCCACAGTTCAGAAGCTCTCTGATGCCTTCTCCGCCATTCTCCATCCTAACCCTTCCTGTCAATGACTACTTCAGCTTCAACCACAACAATACACAAGCAAATAATAGATACAAACTCAAGGTAAACCTCTCCAAACTCGATTGCAGAAAATACAACTTCAGCATCAGAGTGGTCAATGCCTGGAATGCACTACCTGACTCTGTAGTTTCTTCCCCAAACCCCAAAAACTTTAACCTTAAACTGTCTACTGTTGACCTCACCCCATTCCTAAGAGGTCTGTAAGGGGCGCGCATAAGGGCACCAGAGTGCCTGCCGTCCCTCTCCTAATATTCCTTTTTACTCTTACTCTTTTCATGTATTCAAATTATACTTTTATAATTTGTAATTCTACATTTATACGTTTATACGTATAATTTATATGTTTATACTTTTTTTTTTTAAATTAGATTTATATGCCGCCCTTCTCCGGAGACTCAGGGCGGCTTACAATGCGCTAAGCAATAGCCTTCATCCTTTTGTATATTTATACAAATTCAGCTTATTGCCCCCACAAACCGGGTCCTCATTTTACCTACCTTAGAAAGGATGGAAGGCTGAGTCAACTTGAGCCTTGGAGAGATTCGAACCTGCAGTAATTGCAGACAGCTGGTCTTAATAACAGGGTGCTTTAGACCACTGTACTACCAAGGCTTTTACCTGTTATCTTATATATGCTTGACAAGTAAAACTTATGACTTATGACCATTACTCTATAAATATTCCTTTGGTTTTCCACTCAACTCTGCCTTTATGCACAGGAATATCCTTGTGGGAATTCTGCCAAGCACCCCCTTGTCCAAGATGTGGAAGCAAAGATTCGCCAGTACGTCAACTCTTCCTACAGAGCCCGGTGGTTACTCAAAGTTACCTGGGACAAAGTCCAACGCTACCCGGCGCAGAGACAGACCAGCAAGGTGAGTCGATTTCAGAAGCATCGCGATATCTGTCCTTTCGTGAAGGTAGCTCGACCTGCTGGGATTCAGAGTAACAGAATAACAAGAGTTGGAAAAGTCCTTGGAGGTCTTCTCAAAGTCAAGGCAGGAGACCATCCCTGTCAAGTGGTGGTCCCAATCTCTTCTTAAAAACCTCCAGTGATGGAGCACCCACAATTTCTGGTGGCAAGCTGTTCCACCGGTTAATTGTTCTCACTGTTAGCAAGTTTCTCCTTAATTCCAGGTTGCTTCTCTCCTGGATTAGTTTCCATCCGTTGCTTCTTCTCCTACCTTCAGGTGCTTTGGAAAATAAATTGACCCCCTCCCTCTTCTTTGGGGCAGCCCCTCAAATATTGGAAGATGCTATCATGTCACCCCTGGTCCTTCTTTTCATTCATCTAGACGAACACCTATCAAGCCGTTCTCACCACAGACGGTTACCGAACCTACGCGCTGTTCCTTTACCAAGAGGGAGGGATGCAGTGGGACTACACCAAACTCTCAGCCCCCAACGCGCTGATCGGGTACACCAGGTAATGCTAATAATCTCTTTACCAATAAAGGAGAATATATTTGTAGCTCAGGGCTTCCAAAAAAAAAAAAATCAATGTCTTTTCTTCCTCTCTCTATGCAGCGGCGATGGATATTTCAAAAACGATAATTTGATGACTCGAACCCCAGCTGAGAAATACCGGCCAGATGGCTTCCAAGGTTACAATACAGGTAGGGCCAAGGTTCGGCTTGGTGAAACGGCCTTGCCAAAATCTCGTGTCATCTTGTGCATAAATGTCTTGCTTTCTACCACGGCTAGGATGAGAGAAATCTAGAAGGCAGAACACAAATCTAGTAAAATAAAATAATAATTAATAACATAACATAACGTACCGGTAGAACAAAACTAACCCGAGATAAATCTGTATAAATCAGAATCGAGCTGGAAGGGACCATGGAGATCTTCTAGTCCAGCCCCCTACTCAAACAGGAGACACTATACCATTTTCAGACAAGTGACTGTCCAGCCTCCAGTGATGGAGAACACACAATTTCTGGTGGCAAGCTGTTCCGTTGGCTAATTGTTCTCACTGTTGGGAAATTTCTCCTTAGTTCTAAGTTGCTTCTCTCCTTGATGAGTTTCCATTAGTTGTTTCTTGTCCTGCCTTCTGGTGCTTTGGAGAATAGGTTGACCCCTCTCTTCTATGGGGCAGCCCCTCAAATACTGGAAGACTGCTATCATGTCAGCTGATTGCTGCTTTCTCTCTATGTTCCTTTCCAGATGTGCGTGGCCTGTGGATATACAAACTGGATAGCTGGATCCGTGTGAATTACCGGCAGAGGTGCCTGGATTGGTTGAGTCACGAGAGATTTCCATCGGCCTGGAACAGGAACCTGCCCGCTTGTCCGTGCTCTCTGCAACAGGGGATGTCGGACTACCGCTACACCACCAGCCAAAAAGGTGTTTTGTCTTCATGGGATTGTCTCCGGCGTCTTTTGAGATCGCTGGACCCACAGAAACAAAAAATGCCGAAAGTTCAGACAGCTGCTGGTTTACGTCCTCTGGATAAAATCACAACCACCATTTCAATTTAGTCAGTTACAGGTAGTCCTTGACTTATGTCTGGTCAGTGAGTGACCTTTTCAAATTATGATGGACCTCCCCAGGGCTTTTTAGGATTATGGGTTCCTTGGTGCTCCCTGAGTTTGGTGGTTTTCTTGCAAATGTTTTTGGACCTAACTAAGGAACATCATCAGTGCTAGAAGGAAGGGGATTTGTGGAGAGGAGGAGGAGGAGGAGGAGGAAGAGGAGGAGAAGGAGAAGGAAAATGAGAAGGAGGAGAAGGGGAAGGAGAAGCAGAAGGAGGAGAAGGAGAAGTGAAAGGAAGAAGGGGAAGAAGAAGAAGGAGGAGAAGAAGGAGAAGAAGGAGAAGAAGGAGAAGGAGGAGGAAGAGGAGGAGGAGGAGAAGGAGAAGGAGAAGGAGAAGGAGAAGGAGAAGGAGAAGGAGAAGGAGAAGGAGAAGGAGAAGGAGAAGGAGAAGGAGAAGGAGAAGGAGAAGGAGTGGGGGGGCGACTGTGGGATCCTTAGTGCTCTCTGAGTTTGGTGGTTTTCTTGCAAATGTTATAAGACCTAACTAGGGAACATCATCAGTGCTAGAAGGAAGGGGATTTGTGGAGAGGAGAAGGAGAAGGAGAAGGAGAAGGGGAAGGGGAAGAAGGAGGAGAAGGAGAAGGAGAAGGAGAAGGAGTGGGGGACGACTGTGGGATCCTTAGTGCTCTCTGAATTTGGTGGATTTCTTCAGATGTTTCATGACCTAACTAGGGAACATCATCAGTGCTAGAAGGAAGGGAGTTTGTGGAGAGGAGGAGGAGGAGGAGGAGGAGGAGGAAGAAGAGGAGGAGGAAAAGGGCTTGGAGTCCTTATTGTTCTTGGAGCTTAGTTGTTTTCTGCAGACGTTTCATTACCCAATTAGGTAACATCATCAGTGCTGAAGGTGTGGGGGGGTTGTGGAGAGGAGGAGGAGGACTGTGTGGTCCTTGGTGCTCTTTGAGCTTCGTTATTTTGCTGCAGACATTTCATTACCCAACTAGGTAACATCATCAGTGCTTGGAGGGAATGGGCTTTGCTCTCTATTTATAAGAAATAGAATTCCAATAGTGTAGTTATGACCAATCCCTTGATTCTTACATCACCCTTCATTCAATCCACTCATGTCCTATCGTTGCGGCGAAAAACGGTCGTTGAACAGGAGATGACAAGATTAGACCAAAGGTCCCCAAACTTTCCATCTTGGCGGCCCAGTCTGGCGCAGAAGTGGCATGTGAGTGGCAGGTGCACACATGCACACACAGCTCCATTTGTGCAAGCGGCACACGCACGCACCCTCCACTCGCGCAGATGGAGCTTCGCGCGTGAGCAGAGGGCACTTGCGCTCGTGCACGAAGCTCCCCTCGCGTGAGTGGAGGACACTTGTGCTCACACACGAAGCCCCCCCCTGCGTGCGAGGGGTGGGCGCTCGCGTGTGAAGCTCCATTCACGTGAATGGAGCTTCACGCGAGTGCAAACGCCCTCCTCTCGCGTGAACGGAGATTTGCACGAATGCTTGCCCATTTCTCCTGTGGCCCAGTTTCGAACGGGCCACGGCTCACCAGTGGGCCATAGTCCAGGACAGGGTTGCTATTCCCTTACTTTCCCTACTGGTTCTCAAATGTGAGTGCGCCCACGCATGTACCCGTCCTTCCATGCATGTGCTTTGCTGGTATGCACACTTACGCGCATGCGTCCGGTCTCAAAACTGTGCCTAAATAGGATGGCATAGAGCCGTGATGGCGAACCCATGGCACGTATGCCACAGGTGGCACGTGGAGCCATATTAGTGGGCAGCTCTGGTGTGCATGCGTGCGCCAGCCAGCTGATTTTCGGGCATTTTGGGCCCACTGGAAGTCAGGAAAAAGGCTGTTTCCGGCCTCCGGAAGACCTCGGGGGGGGGGGGAGGCCATTTTTGCCCTCTCCAGCCTCCTAGAAAGGCTCTGGAGCCTGGGGAGAGTGAAAAGCGGGATTTCCGGTGGGACCGGAAGTTGGCAAACGGGCCTTTTCCGGCCTCCGGAGGGCCTTCAGTGGGGTGGGGAAGGCTGTTTTCACCCTCCCCAGCCTCCTAGAAAGGCTCTGGAGCCTGGGGAGAGCAAAAAACGGTCCTACCTTGCCATCACATGCCAAAAATGGGGGGAGTGCAGGGGGGGTGTTGCACGCGCATGCACGGGGGGTGGGGCGCAAAGAATTGTGGGCGTGGCCACACACACGAGGGACCCCCCGCACTCCCCCCCACTTTTGGCACACAATGGCAAAAATCAGCTGCCCCCCCAGAGATAAGGAGAATCCAAGACCTCGGTGCCTTCCGCCATGCCCTTAAAACCTTCTTTTTCCAGCAAGCCGGGCTGGCCTAACACTATTTAAAATGTTTTTAATTGTTTGTTATTGTTTTTAATCATGGGGCCAAATTTATATATATATCTTTTTAATTGTATTTTAATGTTTGTAGTTTATGCTTTTACTTGGCTGTTCACTGCCCTGAGTCCTCAGGGAGAAGGGCAGTATACAAATTTAAAAATAAAATAAAATAAAATAAATAAAAAGGTTAGCCATCACTGGCATAGAGCCAGGACGGGTGGGCAGGGCCACTTCTGAATTCCACCTCTGGCCCAGGGGTTGGTAAGACAATCGATCTGCTTTTCCCACTGTGGAATTACAACCACTGCTGGGGAATTTAAGCATTTGAAATTAACCCCTTTCATGTTTGCAGGTGGAGAGAATTCCGGCTTAACCCTGCTGTATTCGTCCAGTCCAAATAACTACGGGGCAGGCGTCCGATGTCTCTACAACCAAAACGGCCAGCTTCAAGAAGGTCGGCAAGAGAGAATTTGGAAAACGTCCAGGAAAAACTACCCCAACAACGGTGAGCCACGGAAGGGATGAAGGGTGGAGGTTTTTTAATCCCTCGTCTCGGGATTAAAATGATGGAGACAATGAAATGAAAATGGAATTAAATATGAGCCACCCGTGTGCGGCGGCAGCCAAAAAAGCCAATGCAATCCTAAATTGCATTAACAGAGGGATGCAATAAAGATCAAGGGAGGTAGTGACACCATTCTAGAAAGCCTCACCCCCCAACGCGCCATCCTAAAAAAACGGTTCAATAGATTTATTTCCATATTGCACCAAGTTTTCATCCAGGGGCCGTCTCTGCAGTTTGAAAATAATACCTTGCACCACTTAGAAGCGGATGAAACCGCTCTTCCGAATCAAAACTGATCAAAAAGGCGTCCAAAAATGGATAATAATAATAATAATAATAATAATAATAATAATAATAATAATAAT